ACTCACGTGGTGAGGGTGTTCAAGCCACAGGCTTTCATCTTCAGCAAGCGGTCCCTCCAGTACGCCTTGGGCACACGGAAATAGTGCACGGAGCCCCCGAAGATCCAGAAGGTGGAGTCCTCCAGCATGAAGTTCTGGCCCTTGGTGTGCAGCCCGGACTGCCGGTGTCTCAGCCAGGGAGAGAGCAGGCGGGGCCAGTGCAGCCTGCGGGGAGGAAAAGCGGTCGGGAAGCCTGGAGGCGCCCGGCGGCAGTGGCAGGGGCACCGGCAGAGATGGGCTTCCTCTCGGCTTCCGCTGGCTCACCTGGCCCGGCTGCAAGGCAAGAGCGAGCTGAGCTGCACTGAGGACCGAGGCAAACACAACCCTGAACGTGGAGACAGTGCAGGGCAGCGGTCGCCAGCCGGTGGTCTGTGAGGTCCGAAAGGTTGGCGACCGCTGGTGCAGAGGACACGCGGACACACAGCTGTGGGAAGGGAGTGCTAGTGGGCTGAGAGGCTGTCTTCAGGGTTGGGACTTGGGGGGACTTGGGAGGACTGGAGAGCAGGACTCCTAAGCCATCTGACTAAACATCAAAGCAGCCACTACTTCGAATAGTACCTCTGAGCCACCTCCTGGCCACAGCTGCCCGGCTCGAGGTGCAAATACTTGTGAAGAGGCATCTGTGTTAGAAACGGCATCTATTCACGAACCAAATTTCCAGGTCTTGGTTGTCATCTAAAGGTCAAGTGTCGTCCTGGCCAAGATCACCCGCCTGACAGCCCCACCTGGGAGGCGACTGAGAAGTTTTAGTCCCTGAAAAGGCACCTCTTGACATCCCTGGGGTTGGCCATGGGGAGCCCCGTGGTTCCGTGCTCCGGTCTCCTGGGGACTGCGAGAGAAGGCCGACAAGAGGAACTGCGGCCAGAGTTTCCCGCGAGGAAGTTTAGGAAACGTGGAGACAGATAACAGCCGGGTGCGAATCTGGTGCAAAAGCAAATTTGGGTGGCTGCCTCTTCGGCACCCACTTCTCATGACAGTCCCTGGCACTTGAGGGCATCTTGCCCAGCTGGGCTCCTCTGCATAAAAAGGCACCCTGAGCTGCTCTGGTCTTTCCATTCGTTCTGTAACACTGGCTAACGTGGTACCGCCGCGACATGTGTCTGGCTTAAGGCCCGGCTTCCCCCTTTCAATCAGCGCCGATACACACAGACGTGTGGGAACCCCAAGGGGGATTCCCCACAAACTGCCTGCAGCTGGTCCGTGCTGAAATCGGCACAGACACGGACTCTGTTAGAGCAACGAGAGGAATTGTATGTCTATTGAAGCGAATCCTAAGAAGCCAGGTATGCATATCTTTTCATCTTCCTTTTCTTATAATTTTTTTTTTATTGCGTCTCCTAAAGTAACAGATTGGAATTTTAAGGAGAAAAGGAAAATGATTCTTCCCCACAGACAGTAAGAAGTACTGCTCTAGGCCAGAAGCAATGGCCTGGTGTTTGCCCCTGGGTATTATCTGAATAGCTCATCCTTTTCATACATGACCTGCTCACAAAATCAACTTCGCAGGAGAAGCACATGTGCTCTTGAAAGGGGCAATCCCACTGTCTTGCTGGATGTGGGAGTGCAGAAGCAGTGAGTATCACCCCCTATTAAAAATACACCCCCGCCCCTGTCTACCCCAGGAGAGGTCCTACACAAGGGGGCCTCTTTTGCAATATGGCCTTTACTATCCAGAGCTATCCATCTAAGCCAGTGGTTCTCAACCTTCTGGCCCTTTAAATACAGTTCCTCATGTTGTGACCCAACCATAAAATTATTTTCGTTGCTACTTCATCACTGTCATGTTGCTACTGTGATGAATCGTCATATAGATATCTGATATGCAGGATGGTCTTAGGCGACCCCTGTGAAAGGGTCCTTCGACCGCCACGCGACCCACAGGTTGAGAACCGCTGGTCTAAATGGAAAAGCTGAGAACTGGAGACCAAGGGATTCACAATGGCCTGGACTCAGTGTCCCTCCTCCCCTAGGAAGTCAGCGTGCCCTGCGGTCAGAAGTACGTCCTGAGCGCGCATCGCGGGGGGAGGAGGGAGGGGGGCTGGACTCCAGAGCCCTTTTCAGATACTGAATGTTCTCCAAAGGCCTCTCTAAGCTCCAGCATCTCCCGGATCTTCATCAGAGAGCGCTCGCGACCCACAGGTTGAGAACCGCTGATCTAAGCCCAAGATACAGCTGAGTGGAGAGGAAGCAGCAGATATCCCCACACCAAAGGAGCTCTGCTGTCAAGACAATATTACAGAATTCTGAGTCACTTCAAAGACGAGGTGTTTATTTCACTTGCTACTCTTCCTTGACCTCAGATGGAGAGAACTCTTTGGCTAACTTCTGATACCCCTGCTGTCCAGGCTGTGGCTCTTTGCTCCAAAGCTCCGGGGTATCCCAAACCCTGTAACCACAAATAATACCCCAATAATGGCCATGCTCTGCTCCCTGGTCCCTTTCAGTCCCTGGTCCCTTTCAGACCCTGGCCAGCATGCACTGTGAGACTCCCAGAGCCAGGGTGGTTCAGACACCCCTGCCCCCTCCCTGACTGCGCTAGGCCCAGCGAGCCACGCTTCCCCACTTGTGTCAGGGAGGGCTCCTGCCGAAAAGGACACGTCCCAGGTGCTGAAAAAAAAGCCACTCCTGTAAGATGAAAGGGACAGCATTCAAAGCGCTCAAACATGCCCGGGATGTGACTCAGGCCTCAAGCCCAGCAGAGTTCTACGAGCAAAGCTCATAAAATCCCTGACCTCACAGAATCTCCGGAAGTGAGGCACAATCTGTCCACTGTACCCTGGGAAGTCAGGACTAGCCCGTGATTTGGATCAAAGCAAGCGACCGGGTCCCATTGTTAAGTCACCCACCTTCACGGAGGAGAAGTCTGACGGGTTCTGCTGCTGAAATCCAGAGTGAGTGAGGCAGCTCAGGGAAGCCGAGAACTTGCCCTTGAGGGGCACCATGAGGGCTGCTTCCTGGCGGCTCTCCGCTCTCCTGACCTTCACCACCTGACGTCTCAGGTATGAGAGATGCAGAATGAATTCCACTACTGCTCAGGGGTGCATTTATATTAAGGAAAAAGTCCTGAGTAGGAGCCATGCCTTGATGCTATCAAGCAGGCATTCTTGCGGCGTGCGAGGAGGAAAGGGAATGAGAGGCGGCTGGCTATAAGACATGGGTCACATGACTGCATGCATCACAGACCTCGAAGGAAAATGCCCAGTGGAAGGAGGAAGCCCAACCAAGTCAGAGTGCAGACTGCAGGATCACATTTCTATAAAACACTAAAAAGTTCAACCTGACAGACGGTGGTGGCGAGCAACAGATCGGTGTGCTTGGGGAGAGGGGAGCAGCGGCGTAGGAGAGAGGCGCAAAGGGGCACACGGAAATCTCTGGGGTTGATGGGTATCTTCACAATCTTCATGACGGTGGTAATTTCATAGGTGGGTACGTATGTCAAAACTTACCAAACTGTACATGTTAAACGTGCAGTTTATCTCATGGCAATTACACTGCAATAAAGGTAAAAATTTTTTTATTGATTTCAGAGAAGGAGGGAGAGGGAGGGAGAGATAGAAACATCAACGATGAGAGAGAATCATTGATCGGCTGCCTCCTGCAAGCCTCCTACTGGGAATCGAGCCCACAACCCGAGCATGTGCCCTTGACTGGAATCGAACCTGGGACCCTTCAGTCCACAGGCCGACGCTCTATCCCCTGAGCCAAACCAGCTCCAGCAAGTTCATTTGTTTTTTTTTTAAAGACCCTTGTTCAAGCTAAGATACTGAAGGTTGAAATCTTCCTCAAAAATCACCTTGAACCTCGTTCTTGGATATGGTGTAATCAAACAGCTCTGACCGAGCATGAACCCGCCCAAGGTGACATTCATGGAGAAAGGAAAAGCTGCAGCCACGCAGCCCCTCCTCCACCCAAATCCCTGCCTTCTGGGGTACAGAAAAGGGGCAGAACCTGACAGCTCAGCTCCCCAAAGCTGCCAGCGGAGTAGCCAGGTCCC